CAATACTTTAATTGAATGTAATGGTGTACTTTAATTGCACATCTACTCAACATAAAAAAGGATTGCATTTAGTTTTATTGACATTTAAATAGACATTTTTACATTTGTGGAATGACAATGAAATATTTTCGGGTCGTCATTAACAAAACATAAAAGTAGATTATAGAGTATTGAAAATTTTTGATATGTATCATCAGTTTTCAAAGATGTTCTTGTCATATTGTTTTCTACCATAATGTTCTTCCTTTTTCATTTGAAAATTTCTCGAATTTAAAAAACTTAAAACGCCAATTAATGTATCGATTAACACACTTCTAGTTACAGAGATGAAAAATAATGAATAAATTTCACTTAAGAACGATCGATTTAGGTTTCGAATGGTAGACAGTTTGAAATAAAAAACCATATTCCTGAAAGACAATAGACTTTGACTTTACTTTCTGCCAATTGATCTAATTGAAATTTATTGTTAATGAAATATATAAATATGATTGACGAAAACATATTAAATCATTTTGATGTGGAAATATTGATAGAAAAATCAAAAGATAAAATCAAAGTAACTATTCATTTTCATCGTTTATTTAAAAGATAAATTCTCATAAATGATTCAATAATAAAGAAAATAATATAGTAAAAGTAAATCAAAAGAAAAGAATCGATTTTTTTTCATAATCGTATTTTTTTCTTTTTCTGCTTTTGTTTTTTAATCATAACATAAATCATAAGAAAAATAAAGAGTTTATTCATTTTTAAATAACTCAGAGAAAAATAAAAGAAATTATTTATTAATATTTATATTGAAAGTCAATACGTAAAAGGTATTTCATATTGATTTGATCAGTATCATAGACGATATATTCATTATATAATAACGATGTTTGTCGAGCACCTGATGAAACTCCATGACCCATTGGAATAAGTAAACCATCATTTGTATAATAATATTCTATTTAATAAATAAAAAACAAAAAATTTTAAATTAATATATATTTTATTTTTAAGTAAATTTAACCTTTTGGATCTGGCATAGTTGATCCACAACCTTTTACTGAATGAGTACCATTGGGTAAATTTGATGCAGATAAACTGGTTGCTTTATAACATTCATACATTTTTCCAAGTGCAACTTCACATAAAAGCATTAATCCTTCAGGAGATTGTTTTGATGTCCAACAATAATTTGCTAAATTATTATTTATTTAATATCAAATTAAAATAAATAAAATATAAACTTACCACTTTTTGAAACCATATCAGCAAAATAAACACCTTTACCAAACATATAACCAGTCTAAAATATTATTTAAAAAACAAATAAATAAATATTAATTAATTAGAAAAAAAAAGAACTTGTTAAACTTACAACAGGTGCTTCAGGTGGTGCAATACGTAAACCTTGACTAAGAATACCAGCAAAATTAGTTGTTCGTGAACCATGCCATAATAATTGATGATTTTCAACTGTTTGAAATTTCTTAAAACGATCAAATTCTCCATCACGTGTTGTTTTAAATAATTCACGTAATTTTAATGTATATTGATCATGAGTTTTAGCATGAGTTTTTATTATGTATTGTTCAATAATTTTAAATTCTTCTGAATTATGATCAACTGGTTGAAGACCACATTTTAATTTCTTATAATGAACATCTATTGGATGTTCACTACTTTCTATTGTATTATTTGATTGATCTAACATTGAATAAGCTATTTCTATTTCACGTAAATTATCAATCATTTCAGTTTTTGTTTTTATTAATTCAACATTATCAAGTAGTGGAAGAGAACCCAAACCACAAGCATGTGGAATCACTAAAATTAAATTTTATTTAACAAAATGAATAGTTTACAGATAATAAATAATATTTATTCGTTATATATCATATAGATTAGATTTCTATTAGATATAGATCAAACTTTAACATTAAGATCTTTTCTCGATTTTACTTAACTAATAAAAGAGAATTAAACCAGATTAAAATAGATAATATTCAATTTGACAATGACAATTTTAGACACTATGTAAAAAAAAGAAAATCATTGAAAACTAGAAAGACTACCAATATGTCAAAAAAGCTTCAACAATGATAAAAAAATATCTGAACTTGAATCTGACCGAAGCTTAGAATGCTCCTCTAATGATCTATAAATTTTAAGAAACACTAGAACAATCATTTTAATCTTTAATACTTACTGTTCAAACTGAATGGTTCGTTATTTAAAATAACGATTTGATATTGAATACGGAATTTAGATTCTTTATATAACTAAGTTATATAATCGTCTAGATTGTTTCACTAATCAATATTAGGATATATTCATTTTGTCAATATAGTTAAAACCAATCTTTTATTAAAATTTCCTTATCAGATAGAAAATCTGATTATATAATGGTCAATTTTTAAAAATATGATTTTCCATAATACAGACAGTCAGGGCGGGGATTTTCGACTGTCAGAAACAGTGTCTTAAACGATCTGAAACAGCTAGAAAATGGTGACATAAAGACATCGGGTTTCGACCGTTTTCTGCGATCTGGACAGATTCAAAGAGACTAATCAAAATACATCGAATCAATCAAGCAATTCAGAAAAACCTTCTTCTCTTAAGCAAAAATCAAACAGAAGCTATGATCAGGATTCTTAGTTACTTGCCGCTCCTCTCTGGAAGTGTTCGACGTTCTACGAAAATTCTTAATACTTCTGTCAATTTTTCTATAATTTCGTGATAATTTTGAACAGTAACAGAATTTTGAAACACTATTTGTCTTTCTCTGACAAAAAGTGAAATAAAACTAAGCAGATAATATGACTGTGAAGTAAATAGGATTGGGAACGGATGATTCTCTAGCAGGTCATCTACTGTGAAAGGGAGTCGAATCACAATTGATGTCGTTATTATCTATCTTCTCAGTCACCAGTTCTAGGAATCTGAAAATGAAACCACTTTGTGTCAAATTTTCAACTTCTTCTACCTCTAAAAAATATTGACACGCCTATCTATGATAGATTGATATTGATATAGAACAAAGTTTCCTATTGACAGACATCAATATAGAATGTCATAGATTGATAAATCATTTATAATAATTTTCTAAAAATAAAGATTTGAATATGATATTTATTGTGGATTCTATTCAATCACTTATGCTAGAATTTTTGATGAAAAAAAAAGNTAACGTTGAAAATATGCAACAAGCTTTATTATCATTTGACATTGATTTAAATAAAATGCCATTAGGAAAATTATCGAAAAATCAATTAGATAAAGCTTATCAAATTTTAAGTGAATTACAAACTTTAATTACTCGTGGATTCGATTCAATCACTTATTCTAGAATTTTTGATGATTATGCAAAAAGTTTATTTTTGTATATGAAAAAAAAAAATGTTAATAGTCGTTAGCACAATAAATTCATCAAATGAATGAATTCGAAAAAAAAAGTAGAAAATTTGTAAAATATAAAATTTGAATACTTACAAGTATAAAATCGATTACTCGCATCAATAATAGCAGTTTTTGATGTTGTAACTCCACTAGTAATTAAAGTTTGTAATTCACTTAAAATTTGATAAGCTTTATCTAATTGATTTTTCGATAATTTTCCTAATGGCATTTTATTTAAATCAATGTCAAATGATAATAAAGCTTGTTGCATATTTTCAACGTTAAAAATCATTTTAATAAGTTCTTGAACTGAATTTTCTAATTTTGAATGAATATTTAAATTTGCAGTTTCAAGTAATTTTTTCATTTTATCACTATCACCATGTTGTCCATAATCAATTTCAAGTGGATAATGTTTATTTGGTAATTTTTGAAAATTTTTTCTATCTAACCAATTATTACCTGTTTTATCAAGAAATAATGCATGAAATGCATTTATTGCTTCATTTCGTCGACTATATTCATCAACTTTATCTCCACGAAATTCTGTACCCGTTCGACCCGTAAAAATAAATTAAAAAAGAATATATCATATATATATAAATATAAGAAAAACTTATCATGCTCTAAAAACAAACCATTGTTGACCATTATCAGATTCAAGTAATTGCATTTTATAAAAAGAATTAGTTCCACGTGTTATATCAACAAGACCAAGAACAGCCATATATATATCACCAGTTTCTGTGTCTTTAAAAACATGACAAGTATCTTCAAGTCCTTTTTAAATAAAATAAATTTTATTTTGTTTTTCTTTATTTTTAAAAATATAAAACCTGAATCTGGATCAACAGCAATTCCATCTTTTAATTTTAATTGAACTTTATCTGGTACAGATTTTTTTAATCGAGCTTAAAAGAAAAATAAAATAAAATAATTCGATTTATCTTTGTTTTTCTTTTTAAATTTACAATCAGATTTGTTTGA